CGGCCCTCGACCTGAAACCCGCAGCTTTGCGGCAGCTCGGCAGATAACGGATGAGGCAGCATCTTCAGCAGAGTTTGATTGAGTTGGCAAGGCCCAGGCAAGGCGGGCGCTGAGATTGAGATTGCGGGCGCCCTCGGTTTCCCGATCAAGAACCCCACCCGGCGCAATTATCTCGTTCGACGGTGGCCCCAGTTCTTGGGCGCGCAGATTGCGCGCAGGACCCGCTGCTTATATCGCGCGGTTGGCAGTGGCCCTTTCGCGCGCGGCATGAATTTGAGTTGATGGCGGAGCAGGGCGTGGAGCTTCACAATAACCCTGCGGCGACTTCACTTAAGCAAACGTTTCTTGTGGAGAACGACCCCGATGAAAGGCCTGGATGTTCGAGTCGACTCGCAGATCACCGCGCTGCGCGAGTTTATCCACGAGCGCCCCGAAGCGTCACCATATTGGCTGAGTCGAACCCGACACAATCATGAACACATGCAGAATAGACCACCAATTCGGGCCAACCTGGAAGATCAACAATTGCTGAAATAAGTCCGCCTTTTACCAGCTCGCCACCTGCGGGGTTCCGCCGCAGTCCAAGACGCCGTCGAAAAAAAAAACGGCAACTCCAGCATAATGGGAACCATGCGCGCAACATCGAGACGGACTGCAGAGAGAGCGAAAACCAAGAGTACGACCAGCGCGCTGAAGATGAGGCACTGCGCCGGGGCCGGTGCCTATCTCCCGCGCACAATCAATCAGCGAATCAGGACATCGCGAACTTTCAAGCAGAGTGGCGCGGCAATGCCCGTTGAAGGTCTCGAACAACTGCGAGCCAGAATCCGCGGCAGAAAAAGACTTGAACCCTTGCGCCGTGGAACGCCATGGCCCGTATCGGAGACAGGGAGGCCGCTCAAGTATGGGAGGTCTGGAAGACGATGCGCGCGGACGCAGAGCCTCCAACTACTGCTCGGACGCAGAGCCTCGATATCCTCAGGAGGGAGCCCATCAAACTGCGGCGCCTGCGGCGTTTCAGCATCCTGTCCTGCTGCATCGCCCTCTCCTTGGCCCCCCCCACCTCCTCCAGCTCCCCCCCCGGAAGACGTGGGCGGGGGGGGCAGCCTTCCCGCGGGGCCCCTGGAACGTGGCAGAGGCCGAGCTGGCCAAGAGCTGATCCACATCAGCGTTCGACTCGTCATCCAGGACCTCTGAAGGAAGCTCAAACTTGACCTCCGTAGCCTGGGGAGCCGCGCCTGCTGGCGTCGCGCGGCGCAGCTCCTCCTCCAAAGCCGCCGCCCCCCGTTGGACGGCGGTCTCCTTCTCCTGCAACTCGAGGAGCGACTGCCGAGCCGCCTCGATGATATTCTTCTGAGACAGCACAGCCTCAACAGCCTTGCTCTGCTTGCATTGAGCCGTCTGTAACCTGAGAGCCACGTTGGCATGCTCCTGCAAGACTGGTTTAGCTTCACGCTGAGCCTCGCGCGCATCGCGAAATTGAGCTTCAAGGCGCTGCTTGGCTGGGTCGTCAGAGCCGGCGTCGCCGAGCTGCTTGAGAGCCTTCTCAAGGGGCTCGATGCGGGAGCCTCGCTGCTCCTGCTCCTCACCGTGAGTGCTAGAACCGCCATCCTCAGATGTCGGAGGCTTGGAGCCTGCAGCATTGCTCTTCTTCGGGCCCCTGAGAGACTTGACCTTCTGATCAAACTTCTTCTCGACGGCCGCCGCGATGGTGGCGACCAGGTCGGGCGTGGACGGGCCGTTGGCCCGCGCTCCCTTCGGCGGTCTCGGGGCAGATGGGTTTGGCCGCTGCCCCCACTCCTCGTCAGCTTTGCGCGCTGCTTGAACCGCGCGGCCAGGAGCTGCAGCACCGCGAGGGCACTTGATACGACAAGCCCAATTCGCAGTTCGTGAACACTGCGAGCAGGACCATACAGGCCTTCGCGGGCATCTGAGCACGGGTCCATCGCCAGCCACGCGGGCAAGCTGGAGATGGGAAGAATCGCGAACGCGGAAACTTGGCCCGACGAGGCAGGCCGCCCTGAAGAATGCCTCGCCGAGCTGAGGAACAGCGTGAGCCCGAGCGGCTGAGGGGGAGGGGAAGCAGGAAGAGGAACCTTCAGGTCCGCTAGCGAGTGGAAGATGAAGAATAGGACGACGACAAATGCCGTAATGACGCGAATCCGCAGGAGGAAAGCATGCTTTAGGAAGGGGAAGAACACATCTAGAAGGGCTTACTGACCGATTCCGATTCCCAGGGGCAAATCAAGATCGACACCTGCAAAACCCACGCCGCTCAGAAGATCACATACATGGGATGCTCAGTGTTTGGATCCGTATGTGCAAGATTGTATGATCAGTCCTTCTGTGGAGGACTCACTGTTCAAGTCGCTCTGGGAAGCTCCCTGAACCACTCTATTGAGGATTGATTGTTCAAGCCCTCGCGTCGGGAACGAATGGCTTATATGTTGTTCAGGACGTGTTGCATGAGTTGTAATGTGCGACGCTTCCTGTTGTCAGCCAATGTATGGAGGACTCTATGTTCGATGTCCGGCGACCCATAGATTGTGGACGCTGTCATGGTCAGGGTCTGCTGCTTCAGCTATAATGTGGAGTATGCATTGTTCATGGTTCAAACAGCGATGTGGATACTTACTGCATAATTGTTTTTGTGGAGAATATCCTGTAGTAATCTCGTGTGGAAGGTTTACTGTTTAATCCTCATGTAGAGGCCTCTCTGATTCTATCCCTATGTGATCACCCTACTGCTGAAATTCATGTGGAAGACTTGCAAATCAACTCTTAATGTGGCGGGCTTCCGGTTCAAATCGTCATGATGAGGTCTCTCTGGTGAGATCCTTCCGTGGCCGCGTCACAGTTGAAATCCTAAGGTTTGGGATGTGTGGTTGCAATTCGTTTGCTGGAGACGTCATGTGTATATGATGTTAAAGAAATATGTGGGGGATTACGGTTTGGATCCCGATGTGAGAGGTTTACTTGTTGATTTCCTACGTGGCGGATTCACTGATTGGCCGCCTTTGCGGACTGTGGATTCCCAGGCTCATGTTTGTGGGATCTTGATACGAAATCATGTTCCGCTTGAGACATCGGGGGAACAAGCTATAGGGAAAAAGTGAGTTCACTGACGAAGTCCCAAGCAAAACCGATGTTGAAACAATACCTATTGTTTCACTCGGCCAGAGTTCCTCTGAGCCTAAGATGCCCACTGCAGTGACTAGTTCCTTCTGTGAGCAGTGGGTTCCCAGGCCCAGAGAAAGTCCAGTTCCCCCACCCTCCAACAAAAATCTTACCGGTTTTCACAAGTCAGAGTTTCGTCTGGGACATCGTCAGACAAAGAAGTTCCCCCTATAGATGTTTCCCCGATGTCTGAAAGCAAAGCCTGGCTTTGTATCAACATCCAACATAGATCAAAGTTTCGTCTCGGACATCTGGTAGACAACTATATAAGAAACGCGTTGTTTTTTGTCTGACGATGTCGCAGGCGAAACCTTGAATCGAACAAAACTCAAGATTGGTTTTCTGTTGGACGGACTTGTTCTGGGCCTGGGATTCCCATTGCACTGACTGTCTCCTTTTGTGGGCCCTGGACTCCGGGGACCAGAGAAAGACCGACCCCCCAAACAAAAGATCTTGAGGATTTTTCAACAGTCAAGGTTTCGCCTGGGACGTCGTCAGAAAAATCACTGTTCCCCTTTAGCGTTCTCCCCGATGTCTCAGGCAAAGCCTGGATACTGTGCCAAGCTTCTTCCAGCATGAATCAAGGTTTCGCCTGGGCCATCGGGGAAACACCGATAGGGGAAACATGAATTGTCTGAAGCTGTCCCAGGCGAAACCTCGAATTTTGAAAAATCCTCCTGATCGTTTTGGGGCGGACTTTCTCTGGGCCTGGGAATCCCCAGGCCACTGAGTGATTCCTTGTGTGGACTTTGGATTCCCAGGCCCAGAGAAAATCCGCCCTTCCCCAACGATACAAATGCAGACTTGTTGTGTAAATTCAAGGTTTCGCCCAGGACATCGTCAGACAAATCACGTTTTCCCTGTAGTTGTTCCTCGATGTCTCAATGCAAAGCTTGGCTTTCTCATCAAGATTCTACAACAATCCAGGTTTCGCCTGGAACATCGGGGAGGGAAACTGTAGGGGAAAAGTGATTTGCCTGACGATATCCCAGGTGAAACCTTGAATTCTGAGAAATCCTCAATATTTGTTTGTTCAGCTGAACTTTCTCTGGACCTGGGACCCCCAATCCACAAGATGGAACTGATAAGAGAATCCGCCATGAGGAATCCAACAGAAAATCCTCCGCACCGAACCGAAACTTGTTACGAATAAATTAAGATAGAAAAGCATCCGATGGTGATTCAAACAATGACTTCTCCACACAAGGAACCGTCCACGCGATGATTAAGACAAACGTGTAACAGCTTAAGCGTTAACTCGTCGAAGAAGGTATCATCAGTAGTGATCTCTCTGATTGATTATTGTGAGCGTCTCGGTATTATTTTCGCGATCTTCGAAAGGCCAGTGTGCAAATTCGAACTCTGGATTTCGAAGCAACGTTGATTCCGCCCAAGCCTTTCAGGCCTCAGTCGCGAGGATGACCCTGCCGTCGAAGTGGACGACGGCAAGGCGAGGCGTACTGGCACGCTTGCTCACCACACCCAGGCGAGATCGACGAGGGCGAGGGTCCTGGTCGTGGGCTTGTCATACACAACTCCCCGCCAGAAGCGTAGTTCTTGTAAACGCAACGTGGCCCCGGGCGCTGGAGTTTGACTGGGGCGGGGAGGGAGTGGTACGCGGCAATAACTTGAGGACTGGCGGCCCGAACAATGCGTGCGCTACCGCGCGCGGCTCAACACACATCCGAGCGAGATCGACGACTTCCCCGGCATCCACAAGTCTTCGCCCTCGAGCCCCGATCGCCGCCGCGGCCGCGCCGCCGCGGCTGCGCTGGCGTTCCCGTCGGGCGCCGCCGCCGAGACGCCCGAGGCGGGGGGGGCGCCTCGAGAGGCCACGAGGAAGCGGAAGATGAGCACCAGGTGGTACATGGCCACCGCCACGACGAGCTGGTTGTCCAGGCCGCCTCCCGCCGCACGGGCCGACCAGAATGTGGGCGACGACGCGGCAGGGGTCCTCCCAGACCCCTTCGAGTCATGAACAGCTAACGACGGGACGGGCTTCGCTATTTTCAGCCTCTGGTTGCCCTTACCAAGCCTCGGGACGGTCCAGGAACGACTCGGGATGAAAAACGGGTCTGGGGGAATGGGTCGAGACCTCTTGGGGCCTGCGCTATGGAAAGAACATGACGTTGGGGGCGTGGGTTACGCAAGATGACATAGCGACCTTACGCGATGGCAAACGCTAGAAGAAGAGAGAACGCCACAAACTTTTGGCGCTCCGCGCAGATTTCTTGGACCCACGCTGAACCCTTCATGTTTATGGCCTTCTTAAAAACCATAAGCATGGCTTGAAAACACAAAAACAGAGCCAACTGTTCATGTGTATGGCTTCTAAAGGTGGCCCGCGTTTGTCGAAGAAGACAAACAAATCTCCTTCGACAAGAGAGGGCCGCCTTCGCGGCACGCCACGTTGGAAGCGAAGGCGCACTCCGCTTATGTCGGGCGTTTCCCCCTACAGGGGGATTTTCGACGAAAAATAAAGAATACCCAAACAATACCCCAAGAAGGTCAAAAAATACCCCAAAAATAACCCACAGAGCATTTTTGGATTATTTGTTGCTCATTTTTGGGGTATTATTTTCGTCGAAAACCCCCCTGTAGGGGGACAGGCCCGACTTAACACTGCGCGCGGCCTTGCGCGGGGAGCTCGCGCGCAAGTGCCGCACGCAGCCGCAGCAGGCTCTGCCGCGCCAGACCCGGGCGCCCGCGGCGCGCCGAGGCAGGCCACCGATGGGGGGACCAGTTACCGGCCTCGAATTATCCCTGTCCCTAAGATTGACACGCCAAAAGGCGATGGCAATCTCAGGGGTCCGCCCTCACAACATAGGGGAATCCTTGAGATTGGCATCGTGATGAGGAGATGCCCAGCACAGGGATAGGGATATGTTCCAGGCTGGCAAATAAGGAGCAGGCCTCCTCCGAAGGCGGCCGGGTTTCGGAGAAGACCCATAATCGGGTCGGGCACGTCCCCCAACCGGCGGATCTTCGACGAAAAATTAAAGATAGCCACGCACATTGGAAACTACGCAGACGTAGTCAAAGAATGGTCCGCAGACTATGTTGGACTAGCTTTGACTATTCCTCCTGTAGAGGGACGTGCCCGGCCTCAGCCCAGACCGCTTCTGAGAGGCCCGAGGCCTCCTGAGGCTGCTGCCGGACGAAGCCAGGACGAGGATGGATTTGGACTCTCTGAGATCCGGCGGTCCCGGAGGCTGCCTGGGGCGCCGCGGCACCCTCAGAGCGCTCCAGGACGCTCTGAGAGCGCTCCAGAACGCTCTGGAACGGACTCCTCTTCCTCCTAGCCCCGTCCGAGGCCCTCCCCTCGCTTCGTGGGCGGGATATGTTTGTCCATACGGCCGGACCTGGGACAGAAGAGCACCCCTCAAGAACGCGCGACCCTCCAGAACCCTCTGGCACGGATTCGTCCTCGTCCTGGCTCCGCCGGATGCCGAGAAGGCCCGCCGCTCCCCTCCCCCCCCCCAGGTGCGGGCAGTACTTATATCCATATCCAGAGCGTCTTGGATGTTTCGGGAAGAGGTGCCGCAACGCCGAGGCGCATTGGATATGGCTAAAATCAAGCCTCTTGGGGCCAGATTCATCCATATCCAGTGCGTCTACGGTTTCTGGGGAAGAGAGCCCAAGACTCCAAGACGCACTGGATGTGGATATAACTATTGCCCGCACCGGGGGCGCCGCCGAGTGTTCCGAGGCAGCTCCTGGGGCGCGCCGCGCGTGGGAGCGGCCGAGGCCTGCTCGGCTGGATCGGGCGGCCAGCAGGCCAGACTCGGCCAGGTGAGGGTGGCCGAGAGGTCGGGCCGAGACACGACGAGGCCAGGACGAGGATGAGCTCGGGTGGGGATAGATCGAGAGTCGCCGAGATCTGGGGGCTCTGGAGGATGTCTCGGGCGCCGCGGCCTTCTCGGGGCGCTCCGGAATGCTCTGAGGCAGCTCCAGAACGTTCTGGAACGGATTGTGAGCGTTTTCTTATTACTCCGCGTTTCGACATTGGGCGGAAGGGAGAGGGAGGAGGGGGGGGTCTGGCTTCGGACCTCTCCTTGATGCGACTGTTTGCAGAAGTGCGATCTCTGGGGGAGACTCCACCCGCTCGAACAGCCTAGATCTACTCCAGGGGAGGGGGAGGGAAGGTTTGGGAGCCCGCGCCGAACGGCAAAACAATGAACAAGGAAACGACCACACTTATCCTCGTCCTGGCCCCATCCGACGAGATGGGAGGAGGAGGAGGAGGAGGAGGAGGAGGAGGAGGAGGAGGAGGAGGAGGAGGAGAAGAGGAAGGAGGAGGAGGAGGGGAGGAGGAGGAGGGGAGGAGGAGGAGGAAGAGGAGGAGGAGAAGGAGAGGAGCAGGCGAGCAAGGAGAGACTTGCAGAGGGATGATGAGGAGGAGGAGCAAGGGAGTGAGACGGCGGGGGGAGGAGGAGGACGCGGGGGAGGAGGAGGAGGAGGAAGAGGAGGAGTAGGAGGGAGGAGAGGAAGAAGGCGAGGTTGGAGGAGGAAGGCGGGGGAGGAGTAGGAGCGAGCAGGAGAGGAGGAGGGGGAGGAGGGGGAGGAGGAGGGGGAGGAGGAGGAGAGGAGGAGGAGGAGGAGGAGGAGAGGAGAGGAGACAAGGGGAGGAGGAGGTTTTGAGGAGGGGGTGGAGGGGGGGGGAGGGGAGGAGGAGGAGGAGGGTAGGAGGAGCGAGGAGAGGAGGCGGAGGGAGGAGGAGGAGGAGGAGGAGGAGTGGAGGTGAGGAGGAGGTTTGGAGGAGGGAGGCGGAGTAGGAGGATGGGAGCAAGAGAGGAGGAGGAGGAGGAGGAGGAGGAGGGAGGAGGAGGAGGAGGAGGAGAGGCGGAGGAGGAGGAGAGAGGAGTGAGGAGGAGTAGACAGAGGAGGAGGAGGAGGAGGAGGAGGAGGAGGAGGAGGAGGAGGAGGAGGAGGAGGCCCCATCCGACGAGGTGGGAAAGTCAGATCGGGCTGGCCTCGGCCCGACGACGACCCCGCCGGCCCTCCCGAGGGGCGGCCGGGGCCCCTCCGCGGGCCTCGGGTCTTGCCGTGGGCGCTCCTGGCCCTTGGTCGGGCAGGTCCTCCTGCAGGGAGACTTTGTACGAAAAGCAAAACACATGTAAAAAAACGAATACTCAAAGATAGTCAGAAGCACTCAAGAAAGCATACCCAGATCGTTTTCTTGGGCTGTGTTTGAATCTTCCTCCTGGAGAGGGACAGGCCCGCCTCAATCCTGGCCCACCCTTTGGGGCCTGCAGGGGCCCCGGAAGACCTCCAGAGACCAGGGGGGGGCGCAAAACCGCACAGCGGGGGCTCGACCACAGGAAACCTTCCACAAGAAGCCCAACCCTGAGACCCCAGGACGTCCACGGACTTTTGGCGTGGGAGCGCCGCGCTTCCCATCGCAAAACCCTCGAGACCCGAGAAGCCCAGGGTACCCTGGAGGCGAGCAGGGTTTCTCGGCATGGGCCTCCACTGTACTCTGGGTTTCTTAAGAAGCGTGGAGGGGGTACCCCTCCGACGGGGCTCAACCTCGGCTCCTCGTCGCGCTGCGACGGGGGTCGAAGCGCCTTCGGCGCGCGGTGGCTGCCCGCGACGGGGGTCGATGTGGGGCTGTCGGCGGGGGTGACGCCCCCCCAGACGCTGATTAAGAAACGTGGAGTATGGGGACGGACCGCGTGGTGACCTCGGGATCCCCCACGGCTGCACCGCGCGGTCCGTCACGGCATCCCCTGGGGACCCTGGAGCAGAAGAAGAAGAAGAAGAAGAAGAAAGAACGGCACAAACGTCGTCGTCTTCGGCGTCGTCGTCGGCGTCGTTGTGGGCGTCGTCGGCGTCGTCGTCGACGGCAGCGGCGTCGTCGGGGTCGGAAAGAAACTGTTGGCGCTCCGCGCGGATTGCTAGGATCTGCGCTGGACCCTCTGGACCCCCCTCCCTGGCGTGCGGGACGGCGCCGGAGGCGCCGCTGGGGGGCCCAGCACGGATCCATGAAGCCCGCGCGGAGCACCGAACTTATGTTTAGGTAGTTTTTTCTTCGATGGAAGCCCCCGTCGCCCGAGACGCCCTCGGAGAACGACCCGAGGCCCAGAACCCTGCGGTGACCCCGCGTCCCCACCGACTCACCACGCGGTGCGGTCGCCGCACCGCTCAGGTGAAGGGGTCCTGGGACACACAAATAAATATACCCAAATAACATGCTTGCCCATATTTTCCAATGTTTTCTGGGTGTTCGTCTTCCACCCCCCCACTTCCCATATTTTCCCATGTTCTCTGGGAATCGACGATCAATTGTGTCTATGTGTGTAAGTGTGTGTGTGTGTGAATGCGTGTGTGTGTGTGTGTGTAAGTGTGTATAGGTGTGTGTGTGTAAGTGTGTGTAGGTGTGTGTAAGTGTGTGTGTGTAAGTGTGTGTAAGTGTGCGTGTGTGTGTAAGTGTGTGTGTAAGTGTGTGTGTGTGTGTGTGTGCGTGTGCGTGTGCGTGTGCGTGTGCGTGTGCGTGTGCGTGTGCGTGTGCGTGTGCGTGTGCGTGTGCGTGTGCGCGTGTGTGCGTGTGCGTGTGCTGCGTGTGCGTGTGCGTGTGCGTGTGTGGCGCGTGCGCGTGTGCTGTGTGCGCGTGCGCGTGCGCGTGCGCGTGCGCGTGCGCGTGCGCGTTGCGCGTGCGCGTGCGCGTTGCGCGTGCGCGTGCGCGTGCGTGTGCGTGTGCTGCTGTGCGTGTGCGTGTGCGTGTGCGTGTGTGGTGTGCGTGTGCGTGTGTGCGTGTGGTGTCTGCGTGGCGTGCGTGTGGGTGTGGGTGTGGGTGTGGGTGTGTGTGTGTGTGTGTGGGTTGTGTTGGGTGGGTGGGTGTGTGTGTGTGGTGTGTTGGTGTGTGTGTGTGTGGTGTTGTGTTGTGTGTGTGTGTGTGTGTGTG